GTAATGTAAATAGCGGCAGCAGCAACTTTGCGTCGACGGGATTCGGAGTCACCGGAGTCTTGATCCGAGAGGATGAGATTGCGGCGAGAGGCGATGTTTAAGGTGTGGCGAATAGTAGCCTTGATGGCAGTAGGCGTGCATTCAGATCCATCCTCGCGCGCCTTGAATTGGAGCTGGCAGACGGCGTCCCACACGTCTTTGTTGGCAGCAAAGGCGTTAGAGTAGAAGAGAGTTCGAAAGAGCTAAAAGGTTTTCACATGACCTTCGCGAGCCGTGAGAGAGTCGGCGTTCGCGGGGAGGGTTGCCGTTTGGATGAGATTAATCTGATCGTCAAGAGTAGTGAAGAGGGTCTCGGCACTGAAGTCCTCACTGTACTTGAGTTGAGTGAGACTCGCAAACAGGATCATGGGATCGCGGGTTCCGGCTTCATGGAGCGCCATAAGAGCGGCCCAGAGAGTAAATGGAGAGGCGTGGGATCCGATAACTTGTTGGAGAATAGGCGTGAGGGAGTTGAAGAGAAATGCCTTAGCTTGGACGCGTAAGGTGGCGAGGGACTCTGCGATATACTCGTCCAGGAACTTGCGCGTGAAGTCTTGTTCTAGACGTTTCACGGTTGTAAGGCGCTGTTCCAAGGCGTCACCAGCATAACCGTCGGTAGAGTACTTCGAATCGTTGCGGATCTTATCCACCTGGAGCTTGGCTTGGCTGATAGTTTAGGTGTCAGTTTCGATGCGCGTGGGGCAGTAGGTCTCGTTGGTGTAGAGGGAGAAGAAACCTGCGGTCACGGCAGCTTCTTCAAACGTGGTGCGCCACGCAGCATAGATTTTGTAGGCGTCGTCGAGGAGAATGCCGGAGTAGGCGGTAATGGTCGAAGCAGGAGGGCTCATAACCTGTCACAAAGCAAGAAACAGGAGGTAGGCGTGGGTGATAGGCGTGTAGCAACTTTGCGCAGAGTGTCCAAGACAAACCAAGTGTGCGGGTCAGGGGAAAACCAAAAGTGACATTCAGTCGTTTACAAACTATCTAGCTTCGTTCCTATTGGCTAAAACTCAGCCAAAGGGAAACACTGACCTGTGAGAATCAGCGCTCTTTTCCTTGTGCTAGAGCCGTGATTGGGTGAGCAATCACTAGGGTAGGGTTGCGACATGAAGAATATGCAGAACATGCAGGTATAAAGCGGCCACTGTCTCGGCCTGTCAGAGTTGATAGACTAGGCGATAGAGCTTGGGAGAAAGTAGGCGAGGACAAAAGGCGTGAACACAGGCGAGGGAAAAGCACCACTTGACATTACTGGACAAAGTGATGTGAATGACAAGGAATTGTAACAGGATCATGTCTCATTCATCACTCCCGAATAGGCCTGGATTTTGACATATTCTAGAATTATAGTCGATACCTACGACACGAGTTATGTGCCTTCCACGGCAGGGTCTCAGTAAAAGTGTTCTTAAATTGGACTTTTAGTTATCATGATGGTGTATTAGAATGTAAGTCGTGTTGCGACGACTCCTGCATCAAGGCCGTGAACTGTTGTCGCCAAACCAAGAAGTCCTCATTTCCCCGTCGGATGACTTCGCGCCACACGCACGCTTCCTTCTGGTCGTCGTCTTCGATGCCCCTTAAATCGATGCCACTCAACACTGCGATCTCATCGACGCTGACAAATCCGTCGTGGGCTCGGAACGAGCGAGATATGTGACTGACTGTCCGCATTATGACATGGGTGGGCGACACCTGCCGCACCTCCGTCCTACATATACGTCCACGGCACCTCACAAAACCGCACAACATGTCCTAAAGTGCTAGAGTTATGGGTCTATCTACAGCATTCACTCACCACGACAGGTAGTGCCACTGCGTCTGCAGAGGGTGGCACGCATGCACTTCGTCGTTTTCGACTTGCCGCATGACCATGACGAACCTGTCGGCTTCCACGAAGTACCCTTGGAGGGTATTCAAGAACGCGCCGTCGGGCGTAGTGGTGTGAGACAGTCGCGTGTTGGCCGCCACCTCTTCGACTACCTAATAATCCTCAAGTCAATGCGAGATGACACATAAGCAGTGACGGTTGCCTCGTGGGGTTTTTCAAAAAGTAATTCGCGCATTGTGGACTCGAAGTGTCGTCGAAACGACGCCAGCGTTCCAGGCAAAATGAATTGGAACCGTTCCAAGAACGTAAACGATTCGTCTTTGTCCGATTCATGCAACTCCAATACGAAAAATTCCTCTTCATGGTTCGCGGCAGGAAGCAACGCTAGCGGCTCGTGCATGTTGTGGTACATTTGCTGCGCAAGCCACTCCTTGCCGCGGTTTCGAGCACTCGGGTCGGCCACTAACGTCACACTGTGCCACGCCATTGCGGCGGGACATGGGCGGCTACATGCAGAGACGCAAATTCATATGACGACGATAGAAGGTGAACACATACCGGAATGTTCATCACGACAAAGTGTCGCATTGCCCGCTTGAGGGATTCGAGCTCTTGCATTTGAGTGACCAGTGACTGGCGCCCCGTCAAGGTCCGATGGGTTTCTCTTTTGAACACGGTGGCAATGGAATGCCAGGACAACGGACCATCGCTAGCTTCACGCACCGACGTCAGACGCATGACTTGAAGACGATCACGGATCGACTTAAGGTGCATGACCTCTTGTGCGATGGCCACTGCGTCAGCTTTCAGCTTGTGGCGATACTCGCGCTGCTTCTCTCGAAAGTATCGACGCCGAGCAAGAGTTTCGTCTACAATCGTCAGGACCTCGTCCGTGGTCGCGCCCGCGTCGGACGACATTCTTGATTTGACAGTGTGAGTTCTCCAACCGATGCGTGATTGTGCATTCTACGGAATTCGTAGGCCAGAACTTGACTTTTGTAAGCAATCGTAGGCGCACCACCCCTACGATTTCACCATTTTGAAATCCTCCACCTCAATTTTTATGACCAACCACTATCGTACACGTCACAAGCCAAAAGGGAATGTGAGGCGTCCTAATGGTAGTGCTATTGATTGCACTGCAGTAGGTATGTCACGTTAGCAGTACGCAAGCTGTGCTGGGTCCGTAGTAGGAAGGAGCGATCGTTTTGGAAGAGTTATAGTGATGTGTTGACAGTCAAACTGGACGCGTTTGCGAATATCAAGACTTTATGGAAAGTCTTATGTGGGCCATAAGCACACACGATCCGTAAGTATATCTTTGTTATGAAGCAAGTGCTTCGAAGTATTGAACTATTTACGGGTCAAGTCGTTGACAGTGGCCTATCTACATTTCTCCAATTCAAATGCACGCAAGTGCATAAACTCTACTTCAGGAGTATCGTTAATATCACGTGGTTGGATGTTTACCTTTGAGGACCTTGGTGTATACTAGAATAAGTATGCATGTACTACGTAGTAGTAAAGTATGGCATTACTGTAATTACTTCATGCAGAGGCACGTTGGAGTAGTCCAACGGTAGCTGATGCCTTTCAAGCGGGCAAGGTCGTGGTGACGGAATGGATGCTTACTACAGTCAACGTTGATGTCGAATCTACTACCGTAGTACATGACTATGATATTCCATCGTCGCATCATTGCACTTGTATCATGCATTCTGCATTGCAAAGGAATATCGTCAATAGTGTTTCGTGATGAGCACGGATTTGTGATAGAATTATCCAATCATTGTACACGAGTGTTTTTATTGGTTAACAGTAAATATGAAATCGTAGGCCCTACGAATTCCATAAATAAGTCAATCGAACCTACCGGCACAGCAAACAAAATCAAGACGTTTATTGTGATTTCGAGTGAAGATTTCGTGTTGTGGCATGGTTTCTCGTTGGAATTTCAATCGATTTGATTGGCTACTTCAGATCAACTCAAAATCGATAGGCAATACCAACGCCATCGTAACAATTGAATCCCGTCAAAGTAAATACTTTTTGAAATACACTTCGCTTTCTGGAAGAATGCGTGTCAATTTTCACCCGAGGAGTAAGGGAACGACGCTGAGTAACGGCGCGGGAATAAATTTTCAAATCAGCCAATTATAATCATCGATATCGTTACCTCGACTATGATTGGCGGAATTTTTCCCAGCACAAGTTAAACAACTTTCCACCCCACTACTTGATAACCTTGAATGTCAGTGCTACCTGCAGCCACAGTGCTGCCAACGAAGCCTCGACACTGACCGACGCTCACCCAAAAGCTCGATGTCGTACGCTTAGCTGAAGGCACGACTGTTCGACATGCAGCTGTAATGACCGGCTAACTCGGGACCAATTATGGAGGGGAGTTGTGTATTCTATGGCATGTAGTTCCATTGACCCATACAGTATA